AGAACATAAGAATGAAGTTTAGAACATAATTTATAGCTTAGATCATATAGTTTAGAATATAAGCATATAGCTTAGAACATAAGCATATAGCTTAGAACATAAGCATATAATTTTAAAGTTTTAAAGTCTTACTTATTATCTCCTTGAGCAAACGCATACTCAGCTACCTTTCTATTGTCCACATTCTTGAAAAGTTTTTCATGTTCAACCATGAAAGGTGAACGCAAGTACATTGGAAGCTTATCCTTTCCTCTTTTTTTCCGTGTCTTTTCTTCTCCTTTTTCTTCTCCTTGTTTCCTACTTAATTCAATTAAAAAATATCACATAGATAACAAAAACCATAACTAAATCAAACCAAAATTTATTGATAACAAAAACCATAACCAAATCAAACCAAAATTTATTATTACCAAGTTCTAAATTAAAATTTAACTAAACCATAACCAACATTTGTTTTAAAGTTTAACCTAACTTTTCTAAATATTTCTAACCTAAAGATCTAATGTTTACAAAATGATTACCCTTTCTTGTTCTCATTTTTTTCTTCTTTGTTCTTCTCTTCATTCTTGCTTCCTTCATTTTCTTTCTTCTCCTCTTGATTCTCCTCTTTTTCCTCCTTTTTCTTCTTCCCCTTTTCTTTTCTCTTCTCCTCTTGGATCTCCTCTTTTTCCTCCTTTTTCTTCTCTCTTCTCCTCTTGGATCTCCTTTTTTTCCTCCTCTTTCTTCTTCCCCTTTTCTTCTTTCTTCTCCTCTTGCTTCTCTTCTTTTTCTTCTTCTTTCTTCTTCTCCTTTTCTTCTTTCTTCTCCTCTTTCTTCTCCTCTTTTTCCTCTTCTTTCTTATCCTCTTTTTCCTCTTCTTGCTTCTCCTCTTCATCCAATGTAGGTGGATGATCTGGATTCAGAAAAGCACAATTTAGAACATTTGCTGTCACTTCTTCGTAAGTGAGTTCTGCTTCATTATCTTCTTGATTTTCTGGGACATCAAACCATAAGTAGAAACAATAAGGACACAACATAGAAATAGTTGGAAAAAATTTAGAACATTAGAAATAACTAGAATATAACCAGAAAAATTTAGAACACAAGAAGTAACTTTAGAACATAACTAATTTACAACATAATTATATTATTTAGAACATATGCACATAATTTAGAACATAATCATACAATTTAGAACATATGCACATAATTTAGAGCATAATTAATTTCGAACATAATCATATTATTTAGAAAATATGCACATAATTTAGAGCATAACTAATTTAGAACATAATCATATTATTTAGAACATATGCACATAATTTAGAACATAATCATATAATTTAGAGCATATGCACATAATTTAGCACATAATCATATAATTTAGAGCATATGCACATAATTTAGAACATAAGAAAGTAGTTTAAAACATAAGCATCTGATTTAGAAAAAATTTAGAACATCAGAAATAACTTTAGAACATAACAGAAAAAATTTATAACATAAGAAGTAATTTTAGAACAAATCTAGTAATATTAGTTCAAAAGAAAAGAGTTTGAAAATAATGTAAAACTACCAACTGCTGGTGAGGGGGTCAATAAGTTGAAACTTGGAGGAGTTATATCAAAAGGTTGCTTCTTTTTTGGAGGAATTGGGGTTTTTGGTGACTCCTCATTCCTTTTCTCTTTCTTCTCAATTTTTTCCTCCTCGTTTCTCTCTTTTCTGTCCTGCTCTTTTTCTTCTTCTTTTGATCCCAAATCTTCATAGCAATTACACCATAAAAATTAAGTATTATAGCAAATAGCAAAAAATAATTAGAAAATAAAAAGTAACTTTAGAACATAAGAAATATATACAATTAGGAGACAACCTAGAAATAGTTAGAATATAAAAAATTAAGAATTAACTTTAAAGCATAACCAGAAAAAATTTAGAGCATAAGAAGTAATATTAGAACATATCTAGTAAATATTAGTACATAAAAAATGAATTTGAAAATAATGTGAAATTACCAACTACTGGTGAGGGAATCAACAAGTTTTTGTCTTTATTCTCTTCATTTCTCTCTTCTTTGTTCTTATCTTTTTCCTCTTCCTTTGATCTCAAATCTGCTTAACAATTAGAACATAACTAATTTAGAACATAATCATATAATTTAGAACATAAGCATGTGATTTAAGCGCATGTTTTAGAACATAAAAAAGTACTTTAAAACATAAGCATCTGATTTAGAACATAAGTATAATTTGGAAATTAAGCATGTACATGTGAAATTACCAACTGTCGGTGACTTTGGTGACCTTGTTTCCTCGAATTTCTTCCATGCCTTATCCATAACCATATCCAATTCTTCAATAAACGCCGGTTCATCGAAGACATGTTGATCTTGGCTGAGTATAGAAGGGCTTTTCTTTTCTTCTTGGTTCACGAATGTCTATAAAATAAGAATTATAATTTAGAACATAATATGCATAATATTTATATAAATTTATTATACTTTAGAACATAAGCTGAAAATACTTTAGAACACAACCAGAAAATACTTTAGAACATAATTATAATACCTTTGTTGTGTACTTGCACCATATGTTGTCTATGAGATGTTGCATTTTTCCTGTTGTTTCTTCCTCAACAAAAAGATCTTTTGCTTGTTCTAACATGCCATACATCTCTTTAACATTCGAGGCAAGTGTTTTTGCCAAATCTCCAAATTTGCTCAAAAAGCCCTTCATTAGAACACAAAAATATTTTAGAACATAAAGGACATAACATGGATAATTTAACAGAAAAGGATTAAATGGAGCATAAAATATAATTTAGAACATAAACTAAATCATACCATCATGTCATTTCGAGAAGTTGTAGAACTAGAACCTATTGATGATTTTTCCATTCTCTTCTCTTTTTCCTTTTGTTTTGGTTGTTTCTTTTTTCCTTTTGGTGCCTTCTAGTATATAAATTATAAAATTTAGAAAACAACAACATAAATTTTAAAGATTAGAATATAAAGGTTAGAATAAAGTGTTTTCAATTTTTACAAGATAAGCATATGTAGTAATAATTTAAAAGGTATAATTACCATTGATGACTCTTCCTTTCTCTTTTCCTTGTCCTCTTGTCTTGATTGTTTCTTGTTTTCTTCCTACACATTATAATATATGAATTACAAAATTTAGAATATAAAGGATAAACTTTAGAGCATAAAGAGAGAACTTTAGAACATAGGCAAAAGTAAGTTGAGTGATTAGAACATAAAGGATAAACTTTAGAACATAATGGGTAAACTTTAGAACATAAAGTGTAAACTTTAGAACATAGGCAAAAGTAAGTTGAATATAAAGTTTAGAATATTTAGGGGTAAATGTTAAAATAGTTTATCACATAAAGTATATAGTTTAGAATATTTAGGGGTAAATATTAAAACAGTTATCACATAAAATATATAGTTTAGAGCATAAAGGGTAAACTTTAGAACGTAAGCAAATATAGATAGAATATAAAGTGTAGTGTTTAAACATAAGCATATACAAATATCATACCACAATTGATTCCATTCTTTCCAAGAGTTTTCCATATCCAAATCCATGATCTTTTTCAAACTTATATCTCACTTGAATCCTTTCCTTTGTCCACACCGAAATTAGTGGACATTTTCTTGGTTTTTCTATCCCTCCTCTTTGTAGACGATCAAAATAGAATACCTATTTAGTACATGTTAAAATTAATTAGAATATTTTTCACACATTTTCAACATAACAAGAATAATATATATACATAATGGTAAGAATTTAAAACTTACCATTAGAAAAGGTAAAGGACCTGTAAAGTAAGAATTTCCCTTCTTCCATACACTTACAGAATCTTTCAAGTGCTCAATCACAAATGTGCACCAATCCAATTCAGCAATTTTCTTTACATCCATACAACTATACAAGAATTTAATGTGTAGTTGTGGGTTGTTTGTTGATCGAATGCAACAATTGACAACACATACCACAAAGTTCCAAAGAAATTCATCAGAAACTGATTTTTCCTTCTTCAATTCTTGAATTCTGTCAATCAATCTCTTGTTGGTTGGACTTCCCTTTTAGAGGTAAAAAAAACATATAAATTAAAACCTATGGAGATAATAGATCTATTTTAAAGCAGAAAACACTTTAGAACATAAGCAAAGCACTTTAGAACATACAATTTATAACACAACCATCTTATACCAATATAATATCATAAAAATAGCTAAATATAATTTTGAACATTACAAGTCAAATAACTACATAAATGATCTACGTTTTAGAACATAAAATTCATACTTTAGAACATAAAATTTAAAACATAACCACATTATATCATCATACTTTTTTGAGGCCAAACTTGCTTCTCCAAGCTTTTAGAAACTTGCTCCATTTCAGATTTGACTCATCATTTGGTTGCTCAATCCTTTTGCCTCCCAATGGCAACCCATAAGCCAAATGAACATCAATTGCCTCCAAAAAGATTTCTTGTTTTCTCTTTGGTAACATCAAACAACATCTCTCCGTGTCAAAATTCGTAACCAAGTTTTCTGTCAACCTAGAATTATAATGAAAAATGTAAGATTTAAAGCACAATACAACTATATTTAGAATATAATAGTCAATCTTTAGAACATAGAAGATTAAAACATTTAGTATAATATTTAAACTTTTGAACATAATTTAGAACATTATATAATAAAAAAAGTCTATTTTAGAACATAATAAACATACATTAGAACATAACAAAAAATTAATTTAGAACATTAGTGTATAGCAATTCAAACATGAGAGATCATAATTTTAGAATACAAGAAGTAACTTTAAAACATAAGTAATTTACAACATAATCATATTATTTAGAACATATGCACATAATTTAGAACATAATCATACAATTTAGAACATATGCACATAATTTAGAACATAGCTAATTTCGAACATAATCATATTATTTAGAACATATGCACAAAATTTAGAGCATAACTAATTTAGAACATAATCTTATAATTTAGAACATTAGTGTATAGCAATTCAAACATGACAAATCATAATTTTGAACATAACATTGATAATACTTATGATTTTAGAATATGATTTTAGAACATAACATTCTACTACTTACATAGAATTAATATGGATTGGTAAATCCAATTCCAAAAAGCCTCCAAAACCAATGTTCCGAATAGCTTGCTTTTGTTTTTCCGAAAGATTTATCAACACATCCTTCATGAATTGAGTAGGAGGTACTCTTTGATAAGGTTGCCTCTTAACTAGTTTATCTTGCTCATTAGCTTCTACTACTTGGACATCCTCACCATCTTCTTCTTTTTCAATCTTTCTTTTCTTCTTCTTCACATCCTCACCATGAATAGATAAACATAATTAGAACATAGATAAGCAAAATTAGAACATAAGCATGCACTTTAGAACATAAAAATAAAGATTGTAAAGATTAAAGAGTATTATTACCTGAGGTTGATTTTTTTTATTGATTTTTTGTTCCTCCTCACTATCATCTTCCATCTCCTCTTTTTCATCTTTCTCTTTCATCTTTACATCACCCTTATTATCATCCTCACCATCATCTTCACTATCATTATTCTCGTCATCATCCTCAACATTATTACCCTCTTCTTTTTTTTGATCTTTTCCTTCTTCTTGATCTTTTTCTCTTCCTTCCTTTTTTTGCAATTTTCGAGGTGGTTGAAGCCTTGTTGGAAGTTTTCTATGTCTTATAGCAACACTTTTACTTTCAATATGCTTCTCAAATTCCGATCTATCAATTACTTCCGCTTCAACGTTTTCAACTTTCCTTTAAAAACAATAAAAAATAATTAGAATACAACTAACATTAAATAGAGTGCAAATATAAAGGGATAAGATGAACATAAACTATAATGGATACATATTAGAACATAATACAAATCTTCAGAACATAAGAGAAAATTTTAGAACATAATGGAAAACTTTAGAACATAATGAAAAACTTTAGAACATAATACAAATCTTTAGAACTTAAGGGAAAACTTTAGAACATATTGGAAAACTTTAGAACAAAATTTAAAACATAATAGGTAAAGTTTAGAACATTAGTTTAGTTACCTTTTTCTTACATAAGTAATTTCTTCTTCTTGTATATTAGTAACTCCTCCTTCTGATTTTTCTTCATTTTGGCCTTGCATTTTACTGCAACATTAAGAAATCAAAAACATTACTAACATTCCAACATTATTATTATATTTTTGAACATAGGAATAATTTAGAATATGCTGAAAAATAGTTTAGAACATGCTTAAAAAGAGTTTAGAACATGCTGGAGAGTGAAAAACCCAAAATAGAATGAGTAAACTAGAAATTTAAAAGACAAATGAAACAGAAACATGATAAGGTTTGATTGAGTTTATTTTCAGCCCATGTTCTAAATTATTTCAACCTATGTTCTAATTTTTTCCTATGTTCCAAATTTTTTCTACCTATGTTCTAAAGTTTATTTTCAGCCCTGCAATCACAAGTTCACTACCCACAACCCCTAACCAATTAGCTGCTGCTGCATAAATCAACCACCACACCACAACCCCTACAAACAGGGGCAATGGCACCAACATCACCAATTTCGAAATCAAAATTCAAAAAAATCACTAATTTTTCCAATTTTCCTTAGCTTGGTTTGTAAGTGGATGAAAATAACTTTCCAGGTTGGAATAGTTTTTCTAAGGGGGGGAAAATAACTAATTGTAAAATATCCAAAAATAAATAAAAAGAGCAAGTGGAAAATTTCATAAGCAATTTATGTCAAATTACAAATCTGGTAATCAAGATTCATTTAAAATGCAAGGTTCTAATATATCAACTGAAACTCAGGACCAATTTCAGTTGCAAAGCACAAAACTGACAATCAAAATTCATTTAAAACGCAAAACTCTAATTACCAGCAGAAACTTACCACCAATTTCAGTTACAAAGCACAAAATTGACAATCAAAATTCAATTAAAAACCTAAAATCAAATCAAAATATCGGAAAACATAAAATCGCAAAAATCAAAACAAAAAATCGCAAAATCTACTTGAACAACATGCTAAGTTCATGGAAATTTGAACAAAATCAAAAAAAAAAAACGCAAAATCAAATCAAAAAATCGGAAAACATAAAATCGCAAAAATCAAAACAAAAAATCGCAAAATCTACTTGAACAACATGCTAAGTTCATGGAAATTTGAACAAAATAAAAAAAAAAAAACGCAAAATCAAATCAAAAAATCGGAAAACATAAAATCGCAAAAATCAAAACAAAAAATCGCAAAATCTACTTGAACAACATGCTAAGTTCATGGAAATTTGAACAAAATCGAAAAAAAAAAACATACCTGAGTCGAAAATCCTTCAAATTGCAATTTCTATGGAGATTTTTGGGGGTTTTCAGAGAGAGAATGTGATGAGCACGAAGAGAGAGAAAGTTAGAGGAGAGAGAAAATTTTGATCGGGTGGTAGGGCCGTAGGGGGTATGAGGAAAAATACGTGTTTTAATCTTAACCGTCTAAATTACCTTAATCCTACGGCTGAGATTGGTTCTTATATAACTAGGGTTCTTATATAAGGAGGGGTTCTTACCGGATCCCTCCCCTATATATATATATATATATATATATATATATATATATATATATATATATATATATATATATATATATATATATATATATATATATAGCTGATGAGGAACGTAAGGCCCATAATGCTGAGATTGAAGGTTACAAGGGCAAACTGAAGGTGCTGGAAGGCAAGGTTGCTGACCGTGATGAGTTATTCAAGAAGCTGGAGGACCAAACTCAGCTAAAGGCTCGAATTGCTGATCTTGTGCAGAAATTAGAGGCTGAGAAGGGCAGTAGAAAAAGGGCCGAGGACAACCTTGAGCTTATGTGTTCAGAGAAAACGGCCATAAAGCGTAGGGCTGTCAACCAATTTTAAAAATCAGATCTGTACCGTGATAAGCTGGTTGACCGCTATACCGGTGGTTGGGTTGCTGCGCATCGGTGCATATGCAAGGCCGAGGAGTGGGGTGAGGACAAATGGCAGGTAGTGGAGGATGCTTACAATTCCGACTGACATCTATCTCCCACCAGCTACGAGAAAGATTATTTTGATGATCCTCCCAGCCTTGATACTATGAAGAACCTTGATCCTCGCAGCCTTCCCGACGAGGAATTTGATGACGCCATTCTTGCCACTCCTTCTCATGATGACGGTTTGGAGAAGAGGTCTGAGGCTAAGCAGGTTTGAAGCGTCTGACAGTCATCACCAAGCTCGTCATGTGGTTCTTGTTCTGTTTATGATTTTTGACTGGACAATTTTAGCTTAGATTTTATGTATTTAAGACTTATATCTGTATCCGTTTTTGTCCGGTAAGGGACTTAAGCCCATCTGGGTGATGGCTGTCGATTGCAGACAATTATATTACTTTTGTTTTTTGCTTGACATATCTCAAACTTTGTATGTGCTTTGAATGTATCAATGTTTTATCTGCGTATTATCGTTAAAGTACGTGTGCTTATATTTCATCAACTCTACTAATATCGCTTTTCAATATTATTCTTGCCCCTTAGTTTGACGAGTAAATGTCTTAACATTTTGTCGTGAAACTTAACATAATGTTTCATGCCGATACCAGTATTATTACATGTTTGCAAGGTTTACTTCCCAATCTTTTAGCGGGGCTCATGATACACAACGTGCCGCTATTTTCCTTGAGTAAATCTTTTCGATTATACTACAACCTTTAGCAGGCTGAGCAACGACAGTGGATCAGACCGTCTATTCAACTCACCTTTAGGTGCATTAGTTATCCAACCATCTCGGCACTTGAATGGCTGCTATGGCTAGCTAGGCCGTTTGCACGTCCATATCGAAAGTGGGCAGATGGTTCTAGTTATCACTGCTGAGTATTGTGTTCTTATTAACGGCTTTTAGCCAAATTAAAATTTGCGTACAAATTAGCCCCCTTAAGAAACACAATTTACAAAATGTGTGTCTACTATTTATGCCTATATCTTACTATTACAAAATTAATCATTACTAGTACAAATTAGACATAACTAAACATAGTATTTTTTCAACACAGTTGCGTTCCAGACATTCTTTCACTGGACCCCTTCCAGTGTCATGAGACGGTAAGATCCTTGGCGTATTGTTTCATATATTTGGTAGGGTCCTTCCCAGTTGGCCGTGAACTTACCATCGGCGTTTCCCTTTCCTGTTGCCGCCGTTCTACGCAAAACTAGATCTCCAACTTCTAACGGCCTATGATTGACGCGCTTGTTGTAGGCTTGACTCATTCTGTTTTTGTAAGCTGCAGATTTAATAGAGGCCATTAATCTTACTTCCGGTAGGAAGTCCAATTGTTGCCGTAATAGGAGGTCATTCTGATCTTCGCAGAAGTGTTGAATTCGAAATGTTGGTAACCCTACTTCCGCAGGAATTACTGCCTCTGATCCAAAAGCAAGATTGAAGGGCGACTCGCCTGTTGTTTCTTTGGTTGTCGTCTTGTTAGCCCATAATATTTTTGGTACTAAATCTGCCCATAGGCCTTTAGCATCTTCAATTTTCTTCTTTAGGGCACTTAAAACCTGCTTATTAGCGGCTTCAGCTTGGCCGTTAGACTGAGGATGGCAGACTGCAGCATAAGCAAACTTTACTTTGTATATGCCTAGAAAGTTTTTTACCGGGTTGCAGACGAATTGAGAACCGTGATCGAACAACATTGCTATCGGTAATCCAAATCTGGTGAAGATATTTTTCCAGATAAACTTCTTTACCTCGTTTGCTGTTATCTTCACCACAGGTTCTGCTTCTATCCATTTTGTGAAGTAGTCTATCCCGACTATCAAAAACTTACGCCCTCCAGTTGCTGAGGTAAATGGGCCGACAATATCCATACCCCATTGCGCAAATGGAATCGGATTGAGGATAGGAGTCAGGTCATTCGGTGGTTGATTTATCGCTGGTCCGAATTTCTGGCATTTATCACATTTTTTGGCGTAGGCTAGAGTGTCCGTATTCATTGTTGGCCAGTAGTACCCCCTTTTCATTGCTTCTAACGACATTGATCGGCCCCCTGAGTGATTTCCGCAATCACCCTCGTGTATTTCTTCTATTAATCTTGCTGATTCATATGCCGTTAAACATCTCCTTAACAGCAGTGAGAAACCCCTCTTGTATAACATGCCCCGGAACATAACAAAACAAACGCTATCTTTCTTGATTTTTTGCGCCTCGTTCTTATCTGTGGGGAGTACACCTTGGACTTTGTAGGCCAATATATCTTCATACCATTCACGGCCTTCTGATGCGCAATTTACTTGTTTGTGAGTCTCTTCGTCTATACTTTTTTTCTTTAGAACTTCAATCATTACCGTGCGTTCTAAGTCATTAAAGCTAGAACTTGCAAGCTTTGCCAGTGCATCTGCTTGAGTATTTTTGCCACGAGGTATCAGGTTGATTACAAAGTGGTCAAGTGCTGTTGTTATGCTTTTAAGTTTAGCTAAGTATGCTATCATCGTTGGTTCACGGGCTTCGTATCCACCATTGAAATGGCTAGCTACCAACTGCGAATCTGTGGATAACTCTACCCTCTTTGCCTCTGCTGCTATGCATAACTGAACTCTTGCTAGCGCCGCTACATATTCAGCTTCGTTATTGGAGGCCTTGAATTTGAACCGGATTGCATATTCGAATACATCTCCTTGTGGGGAAGTCATGATGATACCGGCCCCAGACCCAGTTGAGGCCGATGAGCCGTCAACCGATACCTTCCACGTGCCGATTTCATCTTCCTCTTTAGTGTAAGAAGTTTCTACTATGAAGTCCGACAAAGCCTGGGCTTTAATCGACACTCTTAGCTTATAAATCAGTGCGTACTCCGATAACTCTATTGCCCATTTCAGCAGACGACCAGAGGTTTCCATTTTCTGAAGGGATTTTTCTAACGGTTGATTTGTCAGAATTTCAATGGTATGCGTATCAAAGTATGGTCGCAATTTTCTTGCCGCTATGACTACTGCATACGCGGTTTTTTCTACTAGAGGGTACCTCCGTTCCGCAGCATTTAGCACATGGCTCACAAAATATATAGGCGTCTGTAATTTCTTGCGCTCCAATAATAAAACTGCCGCCACCGTTTTTGGAGACGCCGAAATGTAAAGCTGCAACGTTTCTCCCATTTCTGGTCTGGAAATTGTAGGTAATGATCGTAAATGGTTCTTAACTGCCTCTAGTGCTTTGACCTGCTCCGGCCCCCAAACAAAAGTTTTGTTTTAGCGGAGAACAACAAAAAATGGCAATGCCTTGTCGGCTGATTTGCTGATGAATCTCGTTAACACTCCCATTCAGCCCGTTAACTTTTGTATGTCTTTAATGGATTTCGGCTGTGGAAGGCTAAGGATGGCTTCAATTTTGTCGGGGTTATCATCTATTCCCCTTTTCTAACCATGAAGCCCAGGAATTTTCCAGATTTGACTCCGAACACACACTTCTCGGGATTCAACTTCATTCGATACCGTCGAAGTGTATCAAAAGTCTCTCTTAAGTCTTCAATATGGTCTCTAGCCAGACGGCTTTTTACGATGGAATCGTCGACATAAACTTCGACATTCCTTCCCTTTTGGTCTGCAAAAACCTTGTCCACCAGTTTTTGGTACGTCGCTCCTGCATTTCTCATTCCAAAAGGCATGGCCTTATAACAATAAACTCCGGCATCCGTGATAAATGCCGCTTTGTTTCGATCTGGCTGATAGAGGCTGACTTGATGATATCCGGAAAAAGCATCCATAAAACTCAAGAGCGCATGGCCTTACGTGGAGTCAACCAGGCGATCTATTCTCGGCAGCGGATATCAGTCTTTTGGACAGGCCTTGTTTAAATCTGTAAAGTCAACGCACATTCTCCACTTCCCTGACGGCTTTCTGACCATTACAACGTTGGCCAACCACTCTGGGTATGTCCACGGCTCTATGAAACCTGCCGCTAACAACTTGTTAACTTCTGCCTGTATTGCTTCAATTTTTTCTGTGGAGAAATTCCTCTTCTTCTGTCTTACCGGCCTAGCTTGCCTGTCAACATTCAATTTGTGAACCATTACATCGGGGTGAATCCTCGGCATTTCGTCGGCCGAGAAGGCGAAAACGTCAGCATTCTCTCTTAGGAGTTCAATCAAGTGGCATTGCATGTCGGTGTCCATATCGGATCCGATCTTCACTTTACGATTTGTGACTCCTAGTTGCAATTTGACATCAATAGTTTCTCCTCCCGGCAGCGGTCTTGGGACAGTTATGGGCCTTGTACCAAAGTTTGCCATTGCCAAATCTTGGGTAAGCGGGGATCGCTCCCTTTTCTGACTATGCTGATTCGTTGGAGTCTGTCGACAAGGCTGCTTCAATGCCGACACGTAGCATTCTCTTGCCATCGTTTGGCTCCCTCTGACACGTTCTGTTTTGCCGACATTAGAGACATACTCCATCGTGAGGTGATATGTCGATACTACCGCCTGTACGTCATGAATTAATGGTCTACCAACAATGACATTGTACGCTGACGACATGGCTACAATCAGGAACTCAGCCATCACGTCCCGTGCCCTTGATCCTTCCCCAATTCTAACTTGTAAGATTATACTACCTTCGGGTCTGACCGTTGAACCATTAAAACCGATAACCGGGTACGACACCGGCGTTAGGTACTTTCAACCTATCATCATGGCATCAAACACTCTTGCGAACAAAATATTTGCTGAGCTGCCCCCATCTACTAACGCGCGCTTGACGTCGCACCCATTGATTGTCAATATCAATACCAGCGGGTCGTCATGGGGAAAAACTATACCCTTTGCATCATCCTCAGAGAAGGATACAGAAGGGATTGTAGTTGGCCGAGGTCGTTCATCCACCCCTAATGCGTTTACCATGTGTTTGTACTCCGATAGAATTTTCTTTGCGCCGCTAACATAACCCCCATGCACGGGCCCTCCGGAAATTACCTCTATGGTAATTTTGCGCCCCTGAGGAGCTGAACCTTGTCGGTAATGTAATACCCCGTATTTTTAATGTATTTTATAAGTTATTTATTTAATTATAAAATATATTTTGGGTCAAACTATTTTAATTATTGGATTATAGATAAAGCAGGTATTTATATTTGGGTCAATAAGTATTTAATCCAAACGTAGCGCATCTTTATTGAACCCAATCATCTTATTTTTACTTTTGGGCCACATACTTCATCATTTAAGTCCATTATTTTTTTATGAAGCCCAAACCTACCCTAACCTACTCTACACTATAAATACTCCATTTATCCCCAAAATTTCCCACACAAAAAGTCAATTGGTCAGGTAATTATTTCTCCTCTTATTTCCCTTTTCTTATTCTTTTTCCTTTTTCCTTTTCTCTTCTTTCTTTTCTTATTTTTTTTCCTTTCTTTTGCTTGTTCTTTCACGCTGCCACTGCTGCCGCCAACCCACCGCCGGTCTGCCACCACCTGCCGTCGGCCAGCAGCCGCCCAGCTGGTCGGCCACCACCCACGGTGGTTCTTCCCTTCTCTCTCTACTTTTATTTTGTTTTAATAATTATTCCTATAATATATACTTTGGGGTTTTGATTTTAATTGTTTAATCATGATTAGTATGTTTGATAATTATATTCTAATGATTAAATATTGTAAATTTTAGATTATAAAGTGTTAAATTTTCAGATTTTATGAAGTATTAAAAGTTAGGGTTTTAATTATTAAAGTGTTGATTTTTAGGTTTTTATGAATAATTGATTTAGGGCTTTTATCGTAATGATGTTTTGAAATTTTGGTGATTACAACTACTTATTAGTTTAACTTAATTCCAGATTTATTTTGAACACGCAAATTCATGTTTTAAGAATTAGATTTCTGTTCGTTAATATTAATCTCGTTTTAATCCCGATTAGGTTCTAAACTCCTCCGATTTTGATAAAAAAAAGTAGTGTTTTTCGAGTGGAAACAACGTTTTAAGAAGAACCACCCTCTCGTGGCCAAATTCAGCCTCTAAATATGATTTTCGGGCAGTTTTTGATTTTAACGAAGTTTTTTTTTTATGCTTTAAATTTTATCTTTGAGTTTAAAAGGGGTAAGAGATAATTTAATGTTTCTATGGATAATTTAAGTATAAAGATGTATTTTAAGAAGTTTTAAAGGATTTTTGATTAGTTTAAAATGTTGGAATTTTATTTAAAGTAGTATAATTGTGATTTTTAAAAAAAGGGTGTAATTATCCATTAAAAAGGAGTTTAATTAGGGGTTTTTAAATAATTTTCAGATTATTATAAGTTATTTAAAGTGAGTTTAAGTTGCTGGAAATTGTGTATACAAGGGTAATTAATATAGTATTATTGTCCCTTTATGTAGGAGACTTGGTTCGAGAATTATTGTAGAGTAATCGGTTATTTTAAGAGCTTATTTGAGGTACGTTCGCATACTTAGCATATTTTGGTGATGTAGAATCATGCTAGGTTTGATTTCAATTAATTACAAGTAGTATTATGCTAAGGTTTATGTATGGAATTGTGAATTTATGATGTTTGTGATTGAATAGTGAAGCATGAATTATTTGTGATGGTTTATGGATCGGAAAATTATATTTTGGGCATGTTGTGTTTGAACCACATTTTTATTTATGGCATGTTAGAAGGCATGATTAATTAAACTACATGTTTAATTATGTTTGGAATATTGAAAAGGAATTTTATTATGGTTCAAATAATTTTTATTGATGCTTTAAGCATGAGGAAAGAGCTATATAAGTGTCTATGTACACAAGGAATAAATTGTATGTTGGTGCCTTTGTGCACTTAAGGTGTTTTTAACACCGAGGGATATGATTTTGGCGCATTATGCGTTTAAGGTGTCTTTGACACTGAGGTAGAATTAAAAAGGGTTCAACAATAAATAATATGTGGTCACTAATTATTTAAGAATTAAATTGGTATGTTTGTTTGATTGAATAATTATTGTTGATTGACTTATTATGCTTTGAGAGTCATCACCAAGTCTAATAATATGTAAATAACGTAAAGTGAAACAGATTACGTACCAAAACTCTTGGAACGTATATACCTTGAGTATGAACAATGGGGGGAGTTATGGGGTTTTATAGTTAACCATAACTTCCAATGGAGTACAGGACGCTGTATATTCCTTTTTTATTATTTATTATTATGTGCAGGAATTCCGCCACCTTTGTGTGGTTTTGTCGCTGGCACGGTTAGCTCCCGTGCTAGTTAACCTCAAATTTATTTGGGGGAGGTTAATAGGTGGAAACCCGTTCGATGCGTAATCAATGCAAAATGAATTAATTAGTGTCTAGTCATTGTGTCTTGTTGATTGGTGTGTGTGCTTGTGAACGAGTGCAATGAGGTAAGTGTGTGTTGATAGGTGAAAGCATGTTAGTGTGGCTAATTTACGCTTATGTACTCAGCTTTGCTGATTGTGTGTGTTTGTGTATTTGGCCATGTCTTTATCTTGACCCTATGATGACCCATTTTTAATGGAGAGTAGTGGAAACAAGTAGAGATAAACTTTTCAGGTATTGAGGCATATTCATGATGGGGCACGAGTGAAGAGCGAATCATGCTAGTTTATATTAGTTACAATGTGTTTCTGCTTTAATTATTTATGCTAATATTTATATGTGGAGCTAATATCAAGTTTGGATTTGGGTTGGTTTTTAATAAGGGCCTTTAATGGTTCCAAGTTGTAGGTTGATTTTCATTTTACTTCGCTCATTTTGGTTTTAACTTTACTTTCGTTTGGCTAGCTTTTCAAGTTGGATTGTTTTGGAAAGGTTTTTAAAATTAGTCTTCCGCTGTGTATCTTTGATATTTGCCTTAATCGTTTTCACGGTGGCGGTAATGTATTAGATATTCCTATTTAAAGTTTTATACAGGGCAAAACAAGTATTTTAAAATAAAGGAATTTCTAGGGTGTTACAGGTAAACATCGGCATGACCCGTCGGTAAGTATCGTCTTGCATTGACGGGTCTCCTTGTTTTCGATACTCTGTCTATCTTGCTAACGGTGCTGGCTGTCGGCTTGCTCCTGCCTGAGACTGGTAAATGCCCCTTTCTAATAAGGTCCTCAATTTTTTCCTTCAATTGGATACATTCCTCGGTATAGTGGCCGACATCTTTATGGAACATGCAATACTTCTTTAAATCTCGGCCTTTCGTTATCATTGGCGCCGGCCGATTCCACTCTTCCTTGTGTTGATTTATTGAGTAAATAGCGTCCCTTGGTGTGTTCAGCTGAGTATAATTATTATATCATCCCAAACCTCTAGCAGGCCTACTTGCCTTTTGCTGATTTTGTATGCTAATCCCACCTACGTGGGTCTCGGGTGATGAGTAAGTGTTTTGCCGCCGAGACGGCTCTGTCGATGCTACCTGATTGTCCGCTCTCAGAAGCTCTTCACTCTTGATGTATTCATGAGCCTTATTAAATGCTATGCCGAGGTTGGGAAAGGACTTTCATGCCATGTACCTCTTAAAATCGCTATCAGCTAAACCACTCATTAAGGCCATGAAGGCTATCTCCTGCTGTAACTTTGGTATAGTGTTGGCTTCATTATTAAAACGTCGGACGAAATCTCTCAATGATTTGTCCTTCCTCTGTCTAACAGACATAAGTTCCCCTGAGGTTCTTTGTCTTGCGCTGTTGCCTATATATTGTCTTGTGAACAATTCGACAAGAGTGTCGAAGCAGTCAATGGATCCAGGTGGGAGATTGGTGAACCAGTCTGAAGCTACCCCTACCAATGTCATTGGAAATACTTTACACCACACGGCGTCGGTGTCGGTGTACAACAACATTTGGCTTTCAAAGGCCGCGATATACCTCTTTGGATCACCCTTGCCGTCATATGTGCATGTCGGCATTTTTATTTTTTCCATTTGCTAATCGAGAACCTCTTGCCACCGCTGGCCTCCTGTCGGTATGATTCTGACTCCCCCCTCTGCATGGTTTGTGTGACCTGTCGCTCAGAGGTTATCACCATCTCTTGTGGCGGTGGTCGTGGCTGAGGTTGCTATCCAGCCTGATTGAACTGATCTTCGAGGTTGATGATTACGGGCGTTGTCGGCTTACCCCGAGGTTCCTTCGTGGCCGCGATCTCAGCCTCCTTCCTTTTCCGGGACATTGCTTGCATGACCTTAGCCGTTATCTCCAACTCTTCTGGAGTAAATTCTTCCAAGGGATCAGGGGTTGGTGCCCGAGTTCTTTCCGGTGTTAGCGGTACATTTATGGTGTCTTTATGAAGAAGGTGAGTTTCGTCCTCCACCGTTATCTCTGGTATGTTGTCTACGGTTTTGTTGGCATTGGTATTTAAAATGTCGCTATCGTAATTCCGGTTTTCTGATTTTGGGACGGGTGTAGTTTCATTATTTCCTTCCATGACTGTTGGAGGTCTTTTTTGGACGATAGAAGTTATTACTATCCCCTCCTTCTAGCGCCAATTGTTTCGAGTGAGCTCCGATACCGTGATGTCTTGGGGTTGGTAAAGGTTTACCGTCCAATTTGATGTCTGCACAATCAGCACAGATAATCTAGCCCGGGGGGTTATCCGGGAATAACCGCTCCGATGCTAAAGTTAGTAATCTGAGGAAGAAAGTATGAAGAGAGAGAAAGAGTATATATATATATAGAGAGAGAGATTGTACCTTCATTATGAAAATGTGCCTGGATATATATAGGGGGATAACCAAGCAGGTGCCATCTATCCTTATAGGTGGCACACCGACCTTGTAGGTAGCAGGTGCCTACGTGGTTTTAAGCAGCTCTCCACGTGACCGAGATACCGGCCGTTTGTAGATGTTAAGCTGGTTTGCTAATTGCTGGGTAATTAGTAATATTCAAGCCGCTTAACGGTCAAAGAGCTAGGTTGTCGGTATTATCCCGTACAGTTGTGACTTAGCTCTTTTTTCTTCCAGCTTCTGTTTAGGAATTATTTCAGTGTTGCGGTAACACAGTTATATGTTGAGTCATTCTTTTCTGAAGCAAGTGTGCCTTGTGTAGTCTTAAAGTCTTGGCTCATGTCGCTTGTCAACTGTCATTAACAACCAATGATAAGTAACCTCCTGGCAGGTAGTGGTCCACCATCCACATCGATTCCAAGTGACTTCTTTCAAATAGTCAAACGTAGGGTAGGGGTGAAAGTAATTCGGATTAAAACCGAACCGAATTATTAATTTGGATTGGATTTTTTTGAAATTCGGTTCAGATTGGATTGGAAAAATAAAAAATATGGATTTTCGGTTTGGATTCGATTTTGACTTGTTAAAAACCGAAAACCGAATTTTAGGCCCAAATATACAAGTCCATCTCACCCTTTCACATAAACCCTTTAGGCTTTAGGCCCTTCACATAACCCCTATTCTTATTTTCTCCTTCTCCTAACAGCCGCTCCTCCACCTTCTCTCTCCTCCCTCACTATTCATCTCTCTGATCTCATGCATTCTATCTCTCCTCTCTCACTCTATCTCCTCTGTTTTTCATTCTCTCTTTTGATCTTCTGTATCAAAACTTTTGAGCTCTTCTCCTGCACCAATTTCCTCTTTCTCTAAGCTTCGACCTGAACGGATTAATCAACACCAAATAAGTGATTTGCTGCTGTAGACACCTGATTGTGTCTCCCCAAAAACCAAACCCAGTGATGAGAACCTTTCGCGTCTTTGATTATCGAGTTAGGTGAAGTGTTAAAGAGTCTCGTAAATTTCCCTTAATCCTTAACCGTTTCTAACCTTTCCTAAAATGTTTTAAGCCAAAAGCATTTATTACGTTCTTTTAAACCCAAAATCATTCATTTCGTGTCCTTAAAAATCATTCATTTCATGTCCTCTTTATAAAAACGTCCAAACCGGTCTATTTTGGTCCATAATACTAGTCCAATTATTGTGTGCTTGGGTGGGAGTTGAAAAGAGCTTTCCAACGATATATTATAAGCCCAAATCCGACTTAAAACGAATAAGTTATGACCAAAATACTAAACCAAGCCCAAACCGAGCCTAGGTCCACCTTACCTACGACCCAATGATCATGTGAGGGTCCAAATACCTTAAGCCATTCCCTAACTAATTAGGATTCATTAGGAACTTCTAGAAGTCTCTAGAAGGTTCTAATCTATCCTTTTTGAAAGATAAAGATCAAAAAGTTTGAAATTGAATAAAACTCCTCTTTTTGAAAGTCCTTATTTTATTCTAATTCAAAGATGTTCAAATATGATTCTCGTGCCTAATAATTTTTGTCCAAATATTAGATGGTTGGATAGCCCTTGAAATTATCTTTCCAATGATATATCATAATCCCAATTCCGAGCTATATGAACGAAATACCAAACTCTATCCAAAACTGACACCCTTCCACTATTTCGATCATATATTTTATTATACAAAATATATCAACATTATTCCAATTGGGTTGGAAATTAGATTTCCAGAGCTTTTCAACGATATATTATTTATCTTATTCCGATTTCAGGTTCAAAAGTTATGATAAAAACAAAAACCGCAAAAAATGTTGCCTATCGCAAGAGTTTTATTCCGATTCGAATTTGGATCTTTTCTAATCCTTCGACCCTCTTTTTTCTTATAAATAGAGGTCGTTTTCCTCCGTTTTCAATCATCAACAAGCTTGATCACCAACAATCATCATCTAATCCCCTCTCTCTCTAAGCTAAAAGTTTTTCTTTCTTTCTAGCCTAGCCTAAACACATCCCAACACCATCTTGATATTCTCTTCAATTACACATCATACCTCCTTCACGATCCTTGAATATTCCAAGCCAATCTCGTAGTTGCCTTCGACCTCGACGTGAAAGGCTGATAGTTCTGAGGGTTTGGTCCCAAATCTATATTTCAATTCTTATTTGATTTATTTATGTATTTAATCTTTCTTGAAGTTACTAACATGTGTATTGTTTTGATAGAAAGAGATACGAGGCATCAAAGTGAGTAGATCTACTATCTTTATTCCTTCGATATAGAAATCATGCTTATAATATTATTTTAATTTCCTAGTGTCATGTTAGGATGCTTTTGTGATTTCTAGTATCATGTTAGGATGTTGATTTTGATTCCTAGTATCATGTTTAGGGTGTTAATTAATATTCCTAATATCATGTTGATTTCTAGTATCATGTTTAGGCTAAAGCTTTAATCTTGATTATTATTTAGTGACATGCTAGGGTTTGTTATTAATCCGTTTAGTATCATGCCTAGGATCTTACTAATGATGTTTTGATTATGATGATGATTGTAGTGTCAATTAATAATTCTTTCATTGCTTGATTATTTATTATTCATTGTTATTGCTTGATCACGCCCTTTCTTGCAGGTTTAAAGGGAATTTGTACTTGAATCACGCTTAATAAGATAATTAATAATTTGATTTTAGGCTTAATATGTTTTTAATTTAACTGATCGCCAATAATAGATTTATTTGTGCATTAATAATCAACCAAGATAGATTAAACAGGTTTAGGGCTAACTTATTGTATGTATGTTGAATGGAAAGCGCACGTGAATATCATAAGAATTAAGTAGAGGTCGATTTAGGGCGGGTTCAATCTCTTTTAGGTTGGATTCGTACCATCATCCCCGAATATCCAGTCATGGTTACAGACCACTATGGAGTTAGCGATCTCCGTGATCGTGAATGGGGTGTAACCTTCACACCCGTGAACGGTTTACAAGTTCCTAAAACTTATTAGGGACTCTTTTATCTCTAGTTGCCTTCCCTTTGAACGTCACCATGCTTAAATGCATGATCACAGAAGGGCTCAAAATTGATGTTTAAAATATTCCCTACAGCTGCCGACGACTTCGTTCTTCATTAGGTTCGTCAAGCAAGAAAAAGGATCTGAGTTTTTCTTTTTCGTTTTTTTTATGTAATTTTTTTATTTCTTTTTCTTTTTTTATTTATGTAATTTTGTAAGTTAAAATTGTTGGACAAATTTAATCTTGAATATTTGTCAATTTATGTATGTTGTTAATTTGTCTTCAAAATAATATAATTTGCCTGTTTTTAATAATTAATATCGCGAATCTGCTAAAAAAATTTTGATTTTTGGATTGGATTCGGTTTGAGCATTAGAAATTCGGTTCGGTTTGGATTGGACCGAATTCCAATTCAGTTTGGATTTGGATTGAAAAATCTAAAACCGAATTATTTCGGTATGGGCTATAATCCAAACCGAAAACCGAACTTTCACCCCTAACGTAGGGCTCGAATGCAACAATATTGCGATGTTACCTTAAGTTCTTGGTACTGTTTGCTTAAAGGTTGATTTAGTGATATATGTGTTGTATATTCTATTTTATCCCCCGTCCCACGGTCATTTATTTGCATATTTGAGCTCTTTGGAGCTACTTTTAGTACTAATGTGTGGTTGCGAGTGTTTTGTAGAGTTGGCATTTGTTTTGTAGGAATTCCTCGAATTTGTCGGTGATTTCTATGTTCTTCCGGCCACTACGATATATCGAAACTTGTATCACATTCATGACCGTTGATTGTAGCCCAAGATCGATCATATCGGTGATTAAGGGCTTGGTTCGTGGAATTAGTCCGAGCTACGGTCCAAGGAAAATAAGGTTTGGGCTTTTTATGAGTTGAAGCCCAAAGTAAAAGAGGAGCAAATGTGCCTAAGAGAAAAGTCGGGCCCGATCGGGCGGATGCCCTGATTATGAAGGCGAAACACAAAAAGGCCGGCCAGATCGGGCGCGTGTTTATGGAAGGCGTTTTAGCGTCGATTAATTTGTTTAAGCTTAGGATTTTTTCTACCTTAGTTTAAGTACACTTTTGTTAAGCGAGTTTAGCATTCTTCCCCTTCATTCTATTCTATTCTGTTCTTTTATCTCTCTCTCCCTCTCTCCTTAATTAAACT